GTATTCCAATTGGATCAAAAATTGATTGTACAATAGACAGAATCAGTCTCTTAGTTACCTTAGTATCACAAGTTATCATATTTACATTTATATTACACCTTAAAGTATCATTGTCTAAATTCCACAATATTCCTAAAAGAGGTGTGTCCCCAGAATGTTTTGTAGTATATTTGGAAGCAACATTGCTCTCCCATCCCCTTAAATTAAATCTGCCTCTCGACATAAGACTTTTGGCCTTTTGAATTAAATCCTCTTGTTCCTCAATATTGTAAACACCCGTAATACAATTATCTACATAGAACGAATTTTTTAATTTGTCAGCCACATCTAAAAAGTCAGATGGACAATTATTCAAGAGATATTTAATAGACGCACCTAGTAGATAAGGGCTGCAGGAAAACCCCAAAAACTACTCTGCAGTGCCTATACACTATTTTCTCCCTCATCACTTGGATAGAAAAATCGCAAGTAATCTCTATCCTTCGGAGAAATTCCTAACTGCAAGAATGCTTTCTCTATGTCTGCACTCAGACCAATAGGAAAAAATCTCATTCTGTCTAAAATATCAGGGACTAATTCTATTAAATTAGGTCCTTTCAATAAACACTGATTCAAAGATGGTTTTCCCTTTTCACAAGATGAAGCATCAAAAACGGGTCTTACCTTAGTGCTTTCACTATTCATCTTAATAACCGGTCTGTGTGGTAAAAAGTGGCATTTATTGTTTAATTCCTTTTCCGGAACCTTTTCTATAATATTTAAATTTTCCCACTCTCTAAACACTTCTTGATATTCCTTCAAAGAATTATTTTCTTTTGCCCTCTTTATCATTTTTTGATGACGTGTCAAAGCAATGCTTTTATTATCTGATAAATTGGTAGATTCGCATTTCCAGGGTAATTCTAATTCATATCTACCATCGGGCCGAATAGATAATTTATTCTGAAAATCAATCTCGTAGTCGCAATGAAGATTTTTCGTTTTACTATTTTCCGTCGGGTCGGAAATACCCAAAACTTCAAGCTCCCATAAAGATTTCAAAGAAGCATTATTTACATGTAAGGAAAGACTTATTAGGGCATTATCCCTGACAGTATCATTTTCTTTACCCATAACCGTCCAACCCAGTTTTGTTTTGACTGCAGTTAAACCAGAGGGTAATTCTAGGTATTCGTCAGTTAACAGTTTACCAATGACATCTGCACCTATCAATAAATCAATTTCACTTTCCTCGCAAAATGTGTCACTGACCTCAATTTTCCTGCTTTTCAATTCCTCTATAATCTGAGCATTCTTGATTGTTGGAACAAATCCACATATCTTTTTTTCAGAAAAAGCTTCAAAACAACACCTAAAAGTGTTATCTAAACTGCTTATGTCAATAGCAAAAACAGAATGGGTTACAGGCGCAGTTTCCCTCCCCCCAAAAAACCATGAATTACTTTCTCCTGTCGAATAGGATCAGCCTTCATTCGCTTCATAATTTTCTCCCCAACGTATGATCGTTGGGATCCCGAATCCAAGAGAATCCTAATTTTTCTCTCTCGATCTTTAACTTTAATTAGAACACATAAAGTTTGCAAATAAACTTTCTCGCTCTTACTATTATTAGAAAGGGAAACATCCAACTTAGAGTCATTTTGTTTTACAGAACTAACATTCTGAGGACACATAAATTTTATATGATCACACAACTGCAAATGGGGCATTTAATATTGGCTTTACATTGGTTTTTTAAATGGCCAATTCTTAAACATGAAAAACAAACACCTTTTTTTTTGTACAAGTTGCCTCTTTTCATTTAAGCTCATATTTTCAGCTTTAAAACACTTAGCACTCATATGAGGCTTACCACAAAATATACAAACATTTGCTTACCTTTACTGGTTTCATTTGTACTTACCAGCGCGGCAGCTGTTGCTAAATCTGAATTACCTGAAATAACATTTTTATTAAGACGCTTAACAGAATGAGTAAATCCTGATTGTGCTAATCTAATCATTTCTTCCGATTCTACTTCATGCCTTAAAAAACACATTAGTTTTTTCAAGCGTTCTTTCAGAACTCTTTTCCTGTCCCTGTTCAGAAGTTCGACTCCGCTCCCAGGCACGTAGAATATTCTCAGGTAGGCACGACTCCACTAAAGGTCCCAAGAAATCAGCAAACTTTTCCTTGGTGCGTCCTAAGCTTTCCAGCGCTCGTAATTTACTTTCTATACTATCATAAAGTACTCCTAAGTCCGACGCCGTTCTGCCTGTTGTAGCATTCTTTGTAACAAGCCCAAGCAAATCTCTTACATAGATCTGCACCAGAAGGTCTTCTCTACCAAATCTTTCTTTCAGCTGCTCGATAGCTTTAGGATAATTCGCGGCGGTAACAGGAAAACTGTTCAAAAGTTGAGCTGCCTTTGAGCCAGGTACTGCACTTTGCACTAAGTACAAAAATTTATCTTCCGGCACAATATCCGCATCTTCATGAATTTTGGAGAATTGGCTCCAAAAGCCTAAAAATTCTCTTGCATCTCCAGAAAATTTTTTCAGTTCAAGCTTTAGGAAGTTTGAACTTCCTGTTTTTATTTTCTTTAGGATCCGAAATCGAAACTGAAGCAATATCTGTAGTAACATTCATCGAATTCAATTGTCCAATTTTATTCTGAAGTTTCACCTTTAAAGCTATAAAGGAATCTCTGTATCCTTCAGCCGTATTAAATTCATTTTCAAAATCAGCTTCCTTGGTTTGTTCTAAAACACTGCTTTGAGTACTGTCCAAGCGTTCAAATTTGTCAATTAGTTGCCCCAACAACACTTGCAATCTCTCAGGATCCGTACAAGTAGGCAATTCTTCTTCCACAATCTTCGTAGTTAACGTAAACGAAGTACGTTCACTTTTACGTTTTGCTTTTAACAACTCCATTTTAACAAAACGCCTAAATCAAAACTACTCGAAATCACACAAACGTCCTGTCAAACGGACGCCAAACTTTTATGTTGAAACTAAATAACGTTTGCATAATCCGAGTTCAGAAAACAAAACATTTATTTTACATATTTTAAAGAAATAACGTTCTGAAACAACATGTTTTCATCTACACAATCAATCGACGCTTTTACCAGAGCATTACGCCATCAAACTTGGCACACATCCAAAAGTTCAAATTGAAGAATTACAGAAGCGTTGTTGCCACACAAGAAAAGACATATAGTTACAACTTCACACAATAATAAAACAAAAACACACTTTTGAAAAATAGACAATAATAATAAAAATAGTAATAATAAAATTCTTAACAATATTTTCTCGATTATGCAACACCTCTCATACCTGGGTCTTCCGGATTATCGGTTCTTGAACATGACATCATAGTCTCTTGAGGAATTATCATCTGAATCGTGGACACTTGATTTGCGACAAATGACTGCCAGCGATAAGGTTCAGAAGATAGCCATGCCAGCATTTTTGTTGAATCTGTCCAAGCTATGATTCATTTAACTGGTAAAGGAAAGTCTCTTAAGACTGCATGCAACAAATTTGCTAGCTATAAAGGCTAGGCAGTTTCCCTTAGAAAGTCCTCCACAAAGGCATCCCTCCCTTTAGGCAGATAGCCCTCGGGTGCTTTGCCATAATTGTTCTTGATCCTTAGCTCAGTATAATAAAGGCCTGTGGTTTTAGTAGGATTTTCGTCACACAACAAGTACTATTTTCCTCTTTTTTTTTTTTTTTTTTTTTTTTTTTTTTTGATTGATTTCAGTTTTTCTAGCTTAAACATGTAGTTTGGAACTAAATTAATGAAATTTGTTTCTGTTTCAAAGTGTTATTTTTCAGTTTTTCTTCAGCATGATGCTAGAACTATCTGAATTACTGATTCTGTTAAGTGTAAATATTTCAACACTTCAATAAAAAACCTTATTTTCCCAGCTATTAATCCATTCATTTAGAAAATTAAGCTCAAATCTTTAAAAGTGCATTAGTATAATAATAAATAATTTAGCACTTGAGGAAATCGCACATTAGTCATACACATTTTAAAAGAAGGAATTTTTTTAATACTGTATTTTTGCTGCCAGCTGATTATCCTAATGAGTGATTCTGGAAATCAGTATTATATTTTTGTGTCATTTATTTGGATACTTTAAAAATATATTTATTGCATAGTATTGCAATATATATTAATAATTCACGCTGTCAGGCTTAGCTACCTTATGCACAATTTACATTTAAGATCTTATTTGTTTGAAAAAAGCTATTTTTTTAAGTGAAATATTAAATTGCTCATGAATACAGAAAGCATGATTGATTAAAAAATCTTGAATTTTCTTCATCTGTGGTTTAATTTTTCATTTAATTTAGTTGAATTTATTAACTTTATTAATCGTATGTAACCATCAAAATGTATAAAAAAATCAGCAAAATCTGACAGTAGATGATTCTGCTTCTTTTATTATTTATTCTTACTTATTTATCTTACTGTTAATTGAAGGCCAGATTAAGTGATATATATAGACTTGTATGAGAATACCAGTTATAATATTTTTGGCAGTAAATTTTAACTGTTTCTGTCACGATAAGAAACCCTCCTTTGTGTGGTGGACAGTTCAAGCACATCAGGGATCATACTGGTACTGTTGTGTCCAACTCACCATATGCATCTTTTTACATATGTTTTTAGATAATTCAGGTGTTCAGGGCAACAAACGTGCTGTAGTAGAAAAAAAAGGTATCATTCTTTCTTGTTAAAATACACTTATTTCTTCATAATCCAATCTATATTTGTTAAAGAAATTCATTTAAAAAGTTTTTATTTATCTATTTATTTCCTTTGTATTAAAATTTTATGCATTTATTGCCATCCTGATTTTTAACTCATAGCTTTTATATCTGATATTTTTGTGGTAATGATATTTCGTATTGAAAATTCATATGGGAAGCATGTGTGATTTTTGTCCCATAATTTAAATTTTGAAATGACAAATGATGGTATTGAGAAAATGTAGAATTTTCAGGTTGACCCATCTGGCCCTCTTGCCACCCTCCGAAAATTTCTGCTATCTAATAAAAGTATTGCATCATTGAAAAAATGGATAGTTCTTCATTGGTGGGTTGCTGTTATATTTGGTGTAGGGATTTTTATATTTATGGTATGTATACATTGTTAATTATGTGAATTACGTTTTTTGTTTTTTTAATCCTTATTTGTTGCTGTAATAAACATGTTTTTAAAATTACAGAAATTTCTTTTCATGATTATAATCCTGGTAATTTTTTCTTAGAAATGAATTGATTATATTAAATTATAATATGAGGTTGTATAATGTACTTTTATGGATACTTTTATATAAATTTCAAATTAATTTTTAAATGTTAAATTTCTTACTGTAAAAGCATTGTTGAAATAGTGCCGAAGTTCATTCTATTTCTCATTGTCACTACACTTTTATGTATGAAAATATTGCGGAACTTTTTTGTGTTCTGTTTAGAATTCTGAAATGAACTTTCTTAAATTTTCAGTTTTTATTATGTAATAGAGAAAAACTTAGTATGACTCAAAATATTCATTGCAGCTTGGTCTGAGTGTTAAAAAAATCCAAAAAATTAGTCCCTTTTAGGACCTTCCAGCATTTATTTTACTCCAACAAGATTTGACGGTAAAAGAGTAAAGTGCTTTTATTTTTTTTAACAAAGTACAAAACATATGTTTTTTAAAATAAAAAATACCGTAATTTCCGGGAGAAAGGCTGCATCAGCGTAAACGCCGCACTCGAGAAAAATGGCTTGAAAAAAATTAAAATTCCACAGAAACGCCGCAATAGATTAAATTGCGCATGACATCGTCGTGGGCCGTATAGATGCAAAAACTCAACCTAAGTCCTGATATGTGACATACCAGTTAAGAAAAATGCATGAAATGAAACCATAACTCAAAAATAAATTAAAGGTAAGAAATGTGGAAAATATATTTACCTTCACGTATATACTTATATTTACCCACTAAAGAAGTCCATATTTGTAATACACAGACTATATTATAAAAAGAATGTAAACAAAATAACGTTCGCAAAAAGCAACTGAGTGGTCTTTTGTGTGGGAACAGCACCAGTCTATGCACAATGACAAGGCCATCCAAACTATGTACAATGACCATCATAAGAAATATTTTATTTTTAGTGCACCTAAACGGCGCACCCGCTGAAAATTTAAGTTTTAAACACATAAATACCGAGGCGTTTCTTCCGGAGATTACGGTAACTAAACTCATATATTCCTTTCTTTTTCCATAAAAGAGACACATAACTTTTGTTTTAAAATAAAATAAACTAAGATATTATATAATTATTGTAAAATAATAAATTTTAAAATGTAGTGTATTGTACATTTTTTGCTTATTCAATTTGAAATAAATTTTTGATTTGATTGAAAAATCAATATGGGTCATCCACGTCGTTGCAGAACTGTACGGCATTATATGTGAATTTGTTTTTCATACATATTCGTCTAAACTAGATAAATAAGTTCTTAACCCCTTAACTGCCGCGGACATATATATATATAATATATATATGTCTTGCTCAGCCGATGCGTTAACTGCTGTGGGTGTATATATACACCCTTCCAAACTTCTATCATTTGCTTTGCACTGCTACCCGTAAAATTATTCGCAAAGCTTTGGAATGCAATACCACAATGACCTTGACAAAGTATGCGAAGGAGGCTACTATTTCGGAGAAGTGTGGGGAGAAATTGGAGAGAGGGGTGTGTCTAAAGCGGTGAAAGTAATGACTGCGCGGTATTGGCTGGTGTTGTTTGAGTAAAACGTATTTTTTTTATTCTGTGTCCTCCGTTTTCATTTACTTTTTGTAGTAGGTTGCAGGAATAAAGAAAGATATAATGGATGTTTCAAACCCATTTATCTTTTTTGATGAACTGCTCGTGCTTCATATTGATACTGAAACTAACCGTTTTGTAGACGAGTATATGAGCCAACACCTTGCAAACGAAAAATCAAGAACAAAATTGTGGCATTCAACCAGTTCAGAAGTATATGTTTTTTTAGGCATACTGATTTCACAAGGTATAACACTGAAACCTGATATTACGCTTTACTAGTCTAAAAATGAATTGATGAAAACTCCATTTTAGGGATCTTTTTATTATAAAAACATCATTTTTATTACTTTTAATACTTACATCTTTTTATTATACTTTTACTCAAAATATTAAATTTTGTGCATTCATTTTTTTCTTTTATTCTTTGTTTTGTGAAAGTAAACAGTTTTTAGAAAGTAAAACTTGCACTTATTTTCCCCCTAATACATCGCATAACTATGTGCGCCTGTGTGAAAAGCCGTGGCACTGGGAATTGAATCTTGTACATTTTCTGCAGCAGTTAAGGGGTTAAGAATATGTGTGATATTTTATCATCATTTTATACTATTTAATTTAACTTTCATGTAAAACTTTATTTTAAGTCTGTGCTATTGTGATCCCTTGTTACCTTCAAATTAGTCTGCGCTTCATCATTCTTTTGTTGAGTGTATTTCATTTACCAGAAGATTTGTATGAACAGAGGTTTGAAATTCTTTATCTGCCCCCCCCCAAAAAATAATTTGTAGAAGTTTAAATGAATAAGCTATGAGGATAACAAAAGATCTGAGTAACTGAAGTGTCAGATATTTAAAGATCTACTGTATTTAAAGGCATATGATAAATGGTGTTATATGTCATATTTTCTGAAAACTTAATTAATAATCTTATTCTAAAATGCCTGTTGGATGTATTGTTTGGTGTTTGAATTTATAAGAAAATAAAATAATTAAAAACGATCATCTATATGCTACATTATTAAACATACTTAAGAAGTTACTTACTTCAGTACTTATTTAAATACATAAATTTCATTTTTACCTTCAAAATATATAAAGGTTATTGGGAAAGTAAAGTTCAATTTCTCATAAAATATTAAAATCGAGATTTTTTTTTCTTTTTGAAAACTTTATTTAATTCCTTACATGGTTCTCTATTTTTCTGCATAGTTTCCATATTTGTTAAACATTTGTCACAAGCTTTTGTATGCCTAAGTTGTAGATGTCTGTGAAGATAGCCAGTCTTGAACTGATTCTTTAAACTCGTCATCTGTGGCAAAGTGCTTGCCACTGAAAAATTGCTTTAGGTAATGGAACATGTAAAAATCACTTGGCACCAAGTCTGGACTGTGCAGTGTGTGGGTGGTCAACCTGTTCCCATCCCAAAAGATTTAGGTATGAATGGCAGAATGGGGTCTGGCATTGTCATGCAGCAATGAAACTGCAGATATCAGAAGGCTACATCACTTATTCTATGTTGCATATCCAAATTTAGTCAGGGTATCATTCAAGTCTCACATCATCCAAGAGTTTTAAACATTAGTAAGCTGATGTTTAAAACTCTTGGATGATGTGAGAAACCTACCTCTCGTGACAGTCTGTGACAGTCCTCTCTAAAAATTGATCACCTTCCTTATATCAGTAAAAAAAATCAAGAGCACAAATCATTCTTTTCATTTCAAGTTCCTCAGTAGGCAGCTGGGGAACTCAACATGCTCATAATTTGTGAAAATGCAACTTTTCATAGACAATTTTGTGCAAAATTTTTCTACCCATATTCGTAAATTCTAATTGTTGAAATTGTGAATTGCTGATCTTCATGAATCTTTTTGTTCACAGCATTGACCAGATCTTGTATGATCAGTGATAGTCAGCCTGATCACGGAACTTTGCTGTCATTCATCCCATTTAAGCCATGCACATGGCTTAGCTGTTGATGAATTTCCTCTTCTAAACTTTCCTTGCTGCCAAAAACAAATCACTGACCATATTTAAGTCAGCTGGCTGATCAGTTGTTTTAAAGATTCTGAACTGACACTGTGCACAGCACACTGCAACAATACCAATGTAAATAGCATTGTTTGATGAGCAAGGCATGCCAGGAGTCCATACTCATTCTTGTTTCAGTGTTTGCATGACATTCAATTAGTTATGGCGGTCCGGACCTTAGTTTCTGAATAACCGCCGTATGTGGAACAGTATGAAATCATGCTGTTTAAAATAATTAAAACATCTAAATGTTAGTACATTACAGTCAAAAGTCGTTAATCCGGACTCGTCGGGACTTCGGCGATTCCGGATTATAGATCATCAGTTTAAATCTCGTAAGATGGCATGCAGAAATTCTAAAATTAAAAATATGAAACCGTAATTTATGAAATAAAGAACAATTATGATCTAAAGGGTATCAAAATTTACAAAAAAAAAAAAAAAAAAAAAAAAGAGCTTAATATTATTTGTTTACTTTATTAAACATTTCTTTCAATGTAAGTTGTTTAAGTTGCTTCGTTTTATGTGATAATACTTTCTCTTTAATTCTATAAACAGACATAATTTCTTGTTCAGTTACAAAGTTCCGCTGTTCAAGTCCCGTTAATTGCTGTGCCGAGAATACCGACTAACTTGTCAATCGAAATTTTTTCGTTTTCACTAACCTCTCTGTCACATTCTTCATGTCTTTATCCATTTTTTGCAGCAATTCCACTTTTTGTTCGTTGGACATCGAAACATACTTTCGTTTTGTAGATCCTTTGGAAGTTCCAGCATCGGAAATTCTATTTGACATAATCGAAAGTTCAAGTTTACTTTTATAAAATTGCTCTTACAGTCTGCAAAAAATAATAAGCGGGATCCAATTCGAAGATTAAGGAACAACGAATCATTAACATTGACTGAAATAGATAATTAGATAATTTTAGCTTACACCGTCCGTTATACATTAAACGCGCAGGCGAAAACGTATTCTGCACTTGCGCACACGCATATGCGCAGTAGTCAATGTCTTACGCGCACGCGTAAAACGCCCGTGTGCATGTGCCAACGCGGCACATGCACAAAAAGTTTTTTAGCTTTGAGGTCCGGATTATGGGTGTCCGAATTAACGACTTTTGACTGTATTAAACATAATATTTAATGTAACCTTAAAAAGAAACTGGAGTAGATATTTAATTTTTTACCTTCATGATATATATTGAACAGTAGGAAATCATATCATATTTCTCTTTGCTGAATATTTTAAGAAACATGAAGTTTTCCAAAGCGTATCTGTTATCTATATCTGTTAAAAAAAGTCTTTACATTTTAACATTATTTCATATAGTAATTGTTTTAAAATTTAATTACAGCTTGTTGTAGTCCGCCTGTTTGGAAGACAGAAAAACTCTGTGAAAACTGTGCCTGAAAACAGCACAAAGAACAAATCTCTAAATATTTTCCATCTCTGCAATAGTCAACATTTAAAGAAATCAGACAGCCAGTCAAGAAGTAAAAATTCAAATTTTGCCTTGGCACATGCTTCTAATTATCAAAAGTCGACTAGTAATTTTGTTAGGACAAGTGTATCATCTTTTTCACAGAAACATCAGCCATTGCTTATGACAGGCAATGGTTGGGTATGACAATAATGAAAACCAGTCGTGGCTGTTTAGAATACTGAAATTTTAACTGATGAGGAAGGTACTTGGTTTATTTTTTTTAAAATGTATCTATATATACAAATATTTGTGCAAAGTCTGAAAGTAAGTGTAAAATAACCAGGCTGGTTTTTATGAATGTGGATAATTTGTGGTGGGTAGGAATATAAAAGTCAGAAAATATTTTCCTCTCCTTGCGCTCTTAAAACTTATCTATGTAACTCACTGCACTGTTCTGTATATTTGTATTGTATAATTTTGTTTGAAATTTTTCAACGAAGTATTATCATACTTCGAATCCTTTCATGAAATTCAAAGCTATAGCTTCGAGAACAGTTCTACACATGCAGCTCTTGAATGTTGCCTTGTAAATTTGAAAATGATTGCATAAAAATGGTTAATTGCATGATAAATTTGAAGCATAGCATCTATCACTGATTTTTCTCATCATCAAAACTTTTGAATAAGAATAGGTTTAAAGTATTATTCCTTTGAATTTTTGTACTGACTTTTTTTTATATAATCAAATGAGACACATTTCATTTGCCTCATCAATCCATGCTTAATAGCTTAAATAAAAACACTTAATAAGCTTTAGTTTTTAATAATGTAAATACATTTGGAAATGTTGAAGTTATTCAATTTATAATTTGCATGAAATTAAGGAAGAATAAATTTTACTGTGAGGAGAGTAGTCATCAAATTAAGAAAATCTCTTAGAATCCTTTGAGGAACAAAAACAGGTAATTTAACTTATTTTTCTATTATGTAGATTTTGAATTATTTCACCGTGAAAGTAATTTTCAATCCAAACAACAACGGAAAGTATTTTGATATTATTGCATTTATCATGAGGATTTCTGTGTATTATTACACAAATACTTTCAAAATTTTCTTATAAATAACTTTGAATGAAGTATGTTTCTGAAAATTTTCTTCAGAACAAATTTTATTAATAACTTGTTTAACTGTTCGTTTTTATACTCTTAAAATTAGCAGAATCTAATTTAATTGAATATGTTCAGTGATTAATTGTTTTGTCACTTCTGAGAAAGTAAACTCTGCATAAAATGCTTTGTTTCTGTCAGCCATCAAAATTTAATCCATTTAAATTCCCTCTGTATCATAGAAACATTATATTACATGCAGTATGAACTGTTGACTTTTTATAGGTTATATTTAAAATTGTTTACCTGTAACAATAACATCAAAGCTTAATTTATGAATGAAAATGTTTGTCATGTTATTAAAATTTTTTAAATAATGAAAACAAATTTTGTAACACGACGAAGTGCATTTTGTGTACTAATGTGCTATAGCAAGTATTTCTCTAAAAAGAATATTTTTAAGTTTTTGTAAGTATTGCGACATTTGTAATAATATCAAATTTTTTTATATTCAATTAAATAAAAATTGATGAATAGTATTAAAAACTCTCTTTTTTAAAATTTAAAGAATGTGTCTTAATATTTCATGTTTGTCAGATTGGTTTGGAGGAATTACTTTTTTTAATGTTGTTAAAAAAAGGTGAGGAATAAGTTAAAAATTTGGCAATTTCGGTAGGCATATGAAAATGCTCTTGCATGGTTTCTCCTTTGTCTTGAAGTGAAAATGCATGAAAGTGAATGCAGCAGGTTAATGTCATATTACTTCTGTGAGGTAATAATACTGAAAGGAGCAAATAGATAAATGTTTGAAAGGAATTTATGGATGTGTATTGTTATATCGTAAAACATACTTTTAAAAATGTTTTACTGATTAAAAGTTAACTGCATCCCGCTAAAAGTGTTTAAGCATGACACTAATTCTTTTGCGGTTTGGAAGCTAGTTATCTTATTCAGATAAGACACTTGGGTATCTTAATTTGTATCTTTAAAAAGAAGCGTCAGTTACTCAATGTTAAAATAATATTATAAGTATTAGAAGAGCTTGATAAGAGAAAATTAAAGGACTGTTTAATGGCTACTGAACATTTAATTTAAAAGCTGTTAGAATGCTCTGAACTTTTCATCAACTAGTGGAATATCATGCAGGATTATTAACATTTCTCAGAGTATCAACTCTCATTTGTAAGCTTGTTTCAAATAAACTCATTGTTGTGCAGGGAAGCAAAGGGATATTTAATCAAGAATTATGATATGCAGATAAGACTTTGCTGTAATATGTAAGATGGGCCATAGAATATATAAAGTGTTTTGAGCTGTTTTTTTTTTTTTTTTTTTTTTTTTTTTTTTTTTTTTCAAGTTGCTGAGTGTCTAAAGACTTCAGCTTGAAGGGCACAAGCTGTATGAAATTGCTTTATACAATGTTAGCTTATAATCTTGTGTCAGTCACTGTACTTTAGCCTGTTTGCAATGATCTGTAGCTAAGTAAGATGCAACTGGACATCAGAACTTTTTTTTTTTTTTTTTTTTTTTTTTTAAAGCTAGAATGCAGTGGTGTCTATTTTTGCTTACAAGGGATCTTATGCGGTCACATTTTGCCTCTGTTGTTGATCACAATATTTAAACTTTTACCTCTCTTTCAACAAACTATTTAATGTTAATGGCAGCTAATAATGATGTTGAGTGGTGTTGAAACAAAAATGATACATAGAATAATGCTAATATTGACATTGACTTTTTTCTCCCTTCTGGTCATAGCTCGATGCAATATACATTTACTGTATTTTTGCAGTCTTTTGCTTAATTTTGCATTTTCTTGCATGTTGTATTTTTGTGACCATAAGCTATTTGAGCTTATTTTAACCTTTTTATGCATATTTGGACTTCTGTGTATATTCATAATATATTATGAGCAGTTTATTAAGCTTAATTATTTTCTATTGCTCAGGTTAATTCTGTTTTCAGTAAATAACACATTCTGAATGATACATGATTGTGACTGACAGATTGACTTAACCAAATTGTTGCTCTGTCTTGGTTATGTATTTTCTATTCTAACGTTCTTTAATAATGGAAAATTGATTTGTAACATTAATTCATGTATTTGATTGCATTATATATGTGTAGACTTGTGATATTTATTTATAGGCAAATTATTGAATTTTAATAGAGTATGTGATCAAAATTGCAATCTTTCTTCTATGTGTTTTTTTGTAAAATTTACTGGAACTTCCTCTGGAGAAATATTTTATAAAAATGTCAACTCGGTAGTGTCTTTCCTGTGGAATGATAGTGAAAGTAATATATCAGTTAAAAATATGCTTGTTTTTAATTTATTAAATATGAGTTTTATATTACATCTGAAAAGCAGTGAGAAAATAAACCTTGTGAAGAAATATATATATATTTCTCTCTATATATATATTTCTATATATCTATATGTATGAATGTTCATGTATATTTTGAAAGACCAAAGTTTTGACAAAAAAAGAGTCAATAAATTGCTCTAAATGAAGTACAGTGTTTATATCTTTTATTTACATCATCTTATTATTCATTTCCATTTTCAGCGTGCTCACAAGCAGTAAAATTATTATTGAGTGTTGGTTGCTAGTTGTTTGTCATGGACTCAGTTACTTGTTATTGAATGAGTCCGTTATATGAGATGTATGTGATTCTTTTTAACTATTTATGATGTAAATACAGCTTAGTTGCCCCCAAAACGATCCCAAAGAAAGCACTCCTGTTCCTAATGTAAGCAATAAGAATGCAAATGTACTAGACTTCCTGTAGGAGACAGTACTGGATTCAAAAATGTGAATTCATAACTCACGGGCTACTTTTCTGATTCAAGTTTTTCATTCATGAATGTATTAATAACATGTTTTCCACCCTGAGGTGGATTAGTGATCCATTCAAGGAGTGAATGAATAATGGTGCTAAACAGGTTATTTTAAATTCAACATGCATTAAACATGATGGTAGATATGTGTAAACCATGAAGAACTCAAGTAAGCAGCTATTTACTAATAATTTTAGCAAGTGATTAAGCTTCATTGTGATAATATACTTCCATGAGAGAAAATGAGTTTATGTAGTAAGTGATTTTGTTCATTTAAGCAGTTGCCTTAAACCAGCTTGCATCAGTGCTTTCATCTTTTTTTGAGACTTTGTAGTTTTATTTATTTTTACCTTTCTGTCAATTTATACTTCTACATACTTGAAATGTTTGATAATTCAGCATCTTTGATCATTTTTGTAGAATATATTGTTCTGCTTAATTTTATGATGTCCATAAGTGCCTTCCATAAATATGTAAGAAACTAGTTAACCCCGTCCATTGCTTTTATATAATGTGTTCACAAGACCAGAGTTATATCCAGATCTATAAAGCACTGAAAACATTTATTTTTATCATTTGAATTTTTTAGAAATTAAATTTCTTAAAAACATAAGCAGAAAAACAGAAATTACCAAGTATTTCAATAATGCTTAGAAAGTATATAATTTGCCGGAAAATATTAAAATTACTAGTAGCTTTCTATGGCTAGTGCTGTGTTGCCTTTGAAAGAAATTCTTTTATCAATTAGATGCCTTTCTTTTGCCACTGGTTTGACTAGTATTGCATTTGACAATGTCATTAGGTGATCATTGTTCAGCTGTTGTGTTTCATGAAACATTTTCAGCCATACTTCTCCTATGATATGAAAGAAACATAAATATTACTTTAATTATAAGATGCCTTAACACAAAATTTTGAATAAATCTTTCAAACTAAGTGTAATAACAAATGATAATAAGGTCCAGCTTTATATCCTAAGAATTTACATTTTTCATTGAAATTGTCGCTTTTGCAAGGAGATCCCATGTAAATCATTAAATAAGATTCTCACTATTTGATAGAGAAAATGCCACACCTTGAAGCTAACCAATGAGCAAATATCAAAACTGCTAAATATTGACAATTTCATTCTAATTTGGATATCCAATGGAAGAAAAGTTTGGTTTCATGAGGGCTTTTCTTCATGGATAATGTAGATAGGATTCAGTTTTTTTTAATTATTTTTTTCTTGAAGGTATCCATTTACTTAGAATGGTAAAAAAAAAAAAAATGAATTTTTCATTCAATGTAGTAGCCATGCATGCTAGTCGTTTGGCAGCCATGAAAGTCGATGCAGTTTGAAATATTTTGGGGCACTGATGTTGTTAAATATTAGATTTATATCTTGAGTAACTGTCGAAATTGTTCATTAGGGTTTCTTCTTTGTTTTGGGAATATCAAACAGAGTTAATTTGATTGTCAGTAATATTCTATAAGTTCATAATAAGAATAGGACAGTCGTTTCATCATACTGGATATCATACTGGAGGACCAACCAAGTACTTGGGACCATATGATTTGAACTACATTTTATCCTGCTCTACCTGTTGTTAGAGCATTTCTCAGTCATTTCTCCATGCCTTCAACAGCATTACAGGTTCATTTCAACAATTCATCTGATACAGTGTGTTTGTGCATTTTGGATTTTATTCACCTGGCACATAATAACCTTCAAGGTTTTGTGCCATTAAAAGTCAACCAACCAAGTACTTAGGCACTTGCATGGCTGATTGGTTTGTAATTTATGGTAAAATGTGTGAAGGTTTATAAGAAATGCTTTCCTTAAGAAGTACTAGCTTGTATATATTTTAAATGTTTCCTTATCTAAAGAACACAGGCCTGTATATATTTTAAATATGGCGACCCCATGCAGCCAGATCATTTGCTGTGACAAACTACCAGTTTTCATCTGTCTTATCCACTTGGCCAGTGGTCTTACAAGGACCATTTCCTAATGTCTTCTGTTACGTTAAAAAATTGGAGGCTTAATCCAAGCCTAATTGATGTGCATTTGTTCTACATATTTTAAGCTGCACAAGCTTGTGATGTTCATGAATCTGCACTAAGGAGCTGTGTTACATTCACGAATTTGCACTGAGGAGCTGTATTACTTTCACGAATGGTGACAGAGTTAGCCCGATGAATAAATCATCTCCAGATTCTCAGGTCGCGTTGTCAGCATTTAGACAAATGGTATGATGCCACTGCAATCATTCATGATAAAGGTTTTAAAATGAAAGGCAGTTTTTGCAATGATTGGAAGGACTACACATATCTGCTGTAGCCTGTTTCTGTCAGTACCAATGCTGGATTACCCAGATATCCCTGTATTTTAAAATGAAAGGCAGTTTTGGCAATGATTGGAAGGACTACACGTATCTGCTTTAACCTATTTCAGTCAGTACCGATGCTGGATTACCCAGATATCCCTGTACATATCGCAGAGTGTTTGACAGTTGTAAACAGCTTGATTGCGCTGTGGCCTGTTGTGTAGCAATTAGCGTGTTCTAACGTCCATCTGTATGTCATCCACATTTGTATTTTACCTTACATATACATTTGTATTATTATAAATTTTTATTATTTTATTGCGTGAAGCTGTATTCTTTTATAGAAAGAATAGTGCAAAGAAGTTATTTTATAGCTGTGAAAAGATTACTAAAGTTCACTTAAAAGAATTTTTTTTTTCTTTCATAGCACTACACTATTGTGTGAGTTATTCAACACTGAAGTAATTTTCACAACTCACTTTTTAAACATCACTTCCATTTTGAATAGTCGTTTGATGAAAAATTCATAGTATGACATTTTCTCCATCAAGTGTATATCCATGTTTCCCAAAATTTTTGTCATAACAAACCCATATACTAGAATCTGAACAGTTGCTATGGCAAAAAAAGAAAGAAGAACCTGTATGATCACAATTAAATAATTAAAAATAAATACACATGAGTATTAAAAATTAATTAATAATTATTAATAAACATATGAAACTGCATAAGTAAATAAAATTTGAAAGCTTTCCTAGATGACCTAAACTATCTTGTGACCGATAGCTTAAGAGCCACTAAATATAAATGTAAAACTGAGGCAAATATTTGGAATAGTTCATATAGGAAAATGCAATAATATTCGTATGCGATATAACTACTGCAAGAGGATTCTGTATTGAGTCTATTAAAAATTTCAAGGTATTTTAATTTTCAGTTGTATGGCAGAGTACAATTTCAAAATATTCACACATAATAAGAAAGTAGTGCTTTACAAAAATATGAAATCTCCAGTTTAAACAAATCAACTCTTGTATATTTTCTAATCATGGCATCTAATGTTTCATAACCAGATCTAAAATATTTACATTTAGATTTTCTACTTCAAAAACTCATTTAATTTTTTTATAAGTTAAACATGTTACAAAATAATCTTAAATCAGAATCAAAAATGCGTTTAACTTATAGACATCTAACACATTAGAAAATAATGTAATGACAAAATAGGCTGTAAAATGTGCAAACTTTTTGTCTAGAAATTGTACACAGAATTTACTCCAATGCAACAGCAAAATTTTCATAACAGCTTCCCTCCCCCCCAAAAAAATGTTTGCCAAACTGCCAAACCTAAATTATTCTTGAAAAGATAAACTTAATTTCTTTGGCATTACTTTTATGTAAAAACTTTCACTTTCTTAAACATAGTTACAGTGACAGTTTGTCACTTGTTCATTTGCCATTATGAATCCTACTAATTTTAAATAGAAGTTAAGTTTATCAGTAGCAAAAGAAGATTGTGACGAGGGAGACTTGTCTTTTACCATCTAGAGTTAGGTTAATTAAAGCAAAGCAGCTTAGCGATAAAGTTACTGAAGACTGGTAGTTCGGTCAGGTGTTTGAATCTAGGCGAACAGGCTGGCTGCATGGGCGTTTTCATTGTTTACCTCATGTGTAATATGTATAAAATCTTTCACAAGGCATCTCTCTTCTTTAGGCAGATAGCCGTTGAGTGCTTTGCCATAATTACATGAATCAAACCAAACTAGTTAGAGCAAAGCATCTTAAGGGCTATCTGCCTGAGGGAGAGGGTGCCTTCGTGGAGGATTCTGTAATGGAAACTGGCTCGTATAATGTGCCAGCCCGTTCGCCGGGATTAGTAGTACCACTGTTCAGTGATTTTACGACTCAGCCGCTGATGGGTCTTCACCTTCTAAGAAAATATCTGAAAACTGGGCAGTATTTGCTCTACAAAAGACATGGATATACAAGTTCTCTACTTACTTTGAGGTTACATCTTGAGAAACCTATCGTAAGTTAAAAGTATTGTGAGTCAAAAATGCACCTAATAAACTTAACCATTAAAGGCCAACACCCTTCCTTTTCTTTAAAACTATGACAGTCGTCATTTATTTATTATGTATTCAAGTTATGATATAAAAATAGATGCAAAATGTTAACAAATTTCGAGCTGAAAGACCTCAATTTGTTCATAATATCAGCGTGACTCAACGTGATCGCCTTCAGTATCAATCTAGCAGCGAATATTGATGGATGTGCTAGTGAATTCCTTCAAAAATCGTCAGTAGATATAAAGAAAAGTCGCACTAATCATTAGATATAAATAAGAGAAGGTAATCAGTAGATATAAAGAAAAATCTGTAATCAGTCTATATAAGGAAAAGCCAATTAAGATTCTTAATAATATTTAAGACTAGGCAAACTTATCCATTCGCATATAGGTTATGATAATAGCCAATTTAAATGCATGCTGAAATTCAGATTCTTTAAAGATTTAACTTCCATTGCTAAAAATTATGAGGTTTCTAAGAGCGCAGGATTAAATCTCTTGATTCTAAAATCCATCACAATTAAACTAAAACATAAAAAACTAAAAGATTTATATATATATATAAAATCTTCATCTGAAATATTATTTTCCTATCTAATGATGTAAAAATCGAAATTCTGCAATGATTATTTTAATATTAAAATATGTGAAAAAAATATAAATTATTAAAAAGATCTGTTCTGGATTTTGACATATTTCTGTGGAATAATTTCATGTTGTCATCGCAATCATGTAGGTGCGAAAAATTTCAAGAAAATCTGGTTGTTGGGAGATGAGGGTCCGAAATTAGTTTCAATATTTGATCCAAACAAGCGTAGAAAGAAATTGGGTAAACTAAAATTCTGTACTATGTATATACATATATATATATTATATTGCAGAATTTACAATATGATATGCAAAACTAGTAGGCGTGAAAATCTAGTTTCCTGTTGTTTTTCTCCTTGAGCGAACACGTTAATTCAAAAGAACACCAAATTAATTTTAATTCACTTTATAAAGCATGATTCAGGTTACTGAACTATTTATTCGTAATATGGTACTGATGTAAAATATATTAATATTTAGTTATTTACTAAAGTAATATTGATTATATTATCTCCTAATATAAATGTAGTAAAATGTATCTAAATGAAGCAACCCAGAAGTGCAATTCATATCAAATTAAAATTAACAAGAAGAATTATGGTGAAACTCACTAGGGGTGGGCCAGTGGAATTTGCACGATTTTAAGTTTCATTAATTCAATAAATTTCATTTATTACTAGGAAACATTTTTTGCCTGGTTTTCCATAGTTCATCTTTAGATAATATCAATTTAGCTTAGGACAAATTTTTAGCCTGGGCCAATCGAATTCCTTGTAGGTACACAACATTTTTACGAGCTTTGAAAACCTCTCAAATATTTGTTAAAAATTCAAATATAAGATTACAAAACAGTGTTGGTCAAATTTCCCTTCAGGATTCAAATTTAAGATTACAAAACAGTATTTTCGACTATTTTGTAAATGGGACTCCTTCTAATAAAGTTCCAAAAATTTTGGTGAAAGAAAATCAATAAAGAAATTTGTGAATTACCTAAAAATATCAATATTTTGTCAAGTAATGCTTCTACATGGAGCAAAGAATGCTTTGTGTGTGCTAGAATGAAATATTTGATAAAAAAATAACTTCAGTCGATCCATTCTCTGCTAATGCTATATTTTCATAATATTTGATAATAATATTAATAACTATAATAATATTAATAATAATAATACTTTTATAATATAATTACACATTGACTGCTACTAGTATATTTCATATAAATTTTCACAATTTGATAAACTGCAGTTAAAAAGAACATCTCAAGCTATATTGAACAATAAAAAAATTATTAATTTCCGAAATCTGACAATTACAGTTTTAAAACTGTAATTTCAAATGTTTTCAGACGATATATTTGTGCAATTATAAAAAATAATGTAAAGCTAGAATAGTTTAACAATTTACAATGAAATGGTGTATTCGAATAAACAGCTTTGATTCATATGTTAATAGCATATTTTTAATAATTTATTAAATGTTGCAAAACAGCAACATAGCAAAAATTATGGTAAAATATGATTTTGATTACGTAGCAAATGAGTGTTACTTATGTGGCTAAAATGTCATTCTGTCTTTTAATATTCGTTTGCGTGCCACAAAATTATTTTTAACTACTGTTTCTTGCATAGCAAAATGAATTGAATAATGATGGTTTATAAAGTTTTGGTTATAAAATTATTTAAAGATAATCATATTAAATTTTACATCAAAACCCTGTGTCGTTACAGCTGAAGATAAAGCTTTTATCATATCCCTTTTGAAATTTTTAGAGTTATGAATGATGATGTACTTTGGAATAATGCAGTTTTACCCAGTTCCTAAATTTTGCCAGAGTTTTCCAAGCTCGTCTCTACTGCTTCTCAGTCGTTGAAGTAAATCTCAATTCTAGACGGAGTATATCAGAACTATTTTGAAAACAAAAATCTAAAGAACAAAATAGAAGTCAATGTTCATCTCCTCATACACAAATGCAAAATCTGAATAATAATGAATTTGATAAATTAGATCATATGATAGAAAAAAGGTTCTGAAAACAAAAAGAAAGTATGTATACATTGCAATATCCAAAAACCCACTAGAAATATAAAGCCAATGTGAAATGTTTCCACAAGCGGACAAGACTCTGTAGAAGAAACTTTGCTAATGTTGAAAAAACGCAGCATTTCATAAGCTTAAAAAATTATATCTGTATTTATATGTAGCAAGAAGAAATATGTTCTTCGGAAGTAAAGTAAAATCAGTTTCAAGCTGATATTTCGTTTTGTAGGAAATGGATTAGTTATCGCGTTATAGTACACATTTTTTAAGCACTATCGTAAGTATAGCATGACAGAAAGCATTTTTTGCCAGCATTATGTCTATTTGTTATTCACAGAAACAGTACTTATATCACTGTTTCTAAAAACACATTTACCTGATTTTATCCTTTCACCAATCGCTTTGACGATTCTTATGCCTATTCCAGGATTACCTTGGCTATTGCTGTATTCTTCTTTCCATACATTGGCTAAACTCAATGGGTCAATTTCACAGATGTACCCTAAAATAATAATAAAATAAAGTAAACTGTAGTTTATTCTTCCTCTTACAATTATCTAATTTGCAACTTTTTTCTCAAAGCATGTATAAATTAAATATATATATATATATTAAATCCTTTTGACATCAAGCTACAGTTTAAGAAAACAAATACCTTTACTTCTTTCAGTGATAAAATATAGTAAAATTTGGTATTTACAGTTTTAATGACAGTACCTGCAAATGCAGGGCTGTTTCTTCTCTATACAGCTGTATTGCAATATGGATAGAAAATAGTTGATGTTAGTGGAGGATGAACTGAGAAAGAAGACAAACCATCATCTAGTAGCGTTCCTTATCTACATATAATATGGGGAAAGAAAATGATCTTGGGTAAGCTGTTTGATTTCAGTAAAAGCAGAATATTATGCCCTTTCCTTTCCTAAACAAATTACAAACAATTCTTAAAAATAACTTCTTGAAAAAAATCTCAAGTCCTTTAAGAGTGACACAAACTTTAATATAACAGTAGTTGCAGGATTTATAATTTTAATTTGTAAAATATGATCAAGGTGAAGGGATAACAAACTACAGACAAAAGCAGTCCTCAGTATAATTGTAACTTATTTCGGTATTATTAAATTATAGACTGAAGACAGTGAAAGGGAAAAAAGTTGTGAAGGCTGATTTGTAATGTTACGGACTTGGGGGGGGGGAAATGGCAAAAGATTTCCGAATTCTATAAAAGGTTGTGGGGTTTTATTTAATTTTATTTTGTAAAAAACCCTATATCTCTCATTTTCAACCCACGCTTTCTTGACAGAATGAGATTTCAGTTTTGCGCACTATGCAAAGTAGGGCAGAAAGGTATTATTTAAACAGGTGTCTGAGTTACTTCAGACAGAGTGTGAATTGCCTTTCTTCCACTTTGTTTCTCTGCTAGTTAAGCTTGCTATTTTACGTCGGTGCTAAGTGACCCAAGAGCCAACTACGCGTTAAACTATCTTTGTGGAGCTTCGGCTGATTTATTTAACTTAGGATTAGTTTTGATTTTACGTTTCTATTTTAAGTTGCCGCCAAAAGTATTGTTTGAACCAAAAGTAGTACATATTGTTATTGAGTGAATAAAAGGTTTTTTTTTTTTTTTTTTTTTCCTGTCTAGGTATTGACACAAGTTCAGTTGTTGAACTAAGCGAATAGTTGCTTCACACTTCAAGTCAAGATCTAACCATCCAAATAATTTTAAATTAGCTAGCATATTACGAGGTAAAACAGTACTCATAATTTTTCAAAACTATGCATAGCATTATATGTAAGTACTAATGCAGCAGCTATCAAATTCCAGAAACAGTCTTGCATTTGAAATAGAATATTATATTTTTAGTCTACCTTTTTCAAATAATAAACATATTTATTCAAAATTAGAGCATACCATGGCAGGTGGTAAAACAAGTGGCTGATGAAAGGAGTAGTTAGATGAGCGTTCGTCTAAAAACTTTGGAGCATAATAAATTTACATGCTTCTGCTTTTAATCAAAGGAAGAAAAGATATGTTTAGTGGATACATCTAAAAAGTGTACTTGTCAAGAAAGAGGGACGTATTGTTTCTTTTGTGTTCATTGGCTATTAAAAGCTTTGTTATGGATTCTATTGGATGCATGGCGTTATTTTTATTTTTAGTTGTTATATTTCAAACCGTGGCGCACGGCTTAAGGCCAAGTTCATGATGCATATTAGTTCTACGGGCATCACAGTTTGATTAGTTCAGCCATTACTTAGGGTATGCCCTCAAATAAATAATATTTATTTCGAAAGATATATGTTATATTAGGTATGTTATGTATTTCCAATCTTCTTTGAATAGTTCTGCAGGTAAGAGAACAAAAACAGTAATTAAATATGATTTTGAACACATTTGTTTCAGTAAAATAATTACGGCTTTAAATTTCAATGCGTACAATGTTATAAGTTAATAATTTATTAAGTTCGCTCATGCGAAAAACCAGTTCAGCATAGTCAGTTTCCACTGTTGATATTTCCATCAAGTCATAAATGTGATTCTAAGATGGTTAAAAATGTGAAAATTAACACGCTTTTGGAAATCTATGATCAATAATAACAATAAGTATGGTTAGGCTATTGTAGGTCGCAGAAAAGAAAGTAATGGGCCGAGTGCAGTTTGCATCCTTCAATTGGTTGCCAGTGAGTGGTGTAAATCTGCACGTCAGCAGCAATTTATAAGTAACATAAGAAAAATCCTTCATATAGGATTGATGCACATCAGAAATATTAAAAAGCATGTTTCTAATTTTAGGACAAAAAGGGAAAATTGCCAAATTAAAAGGAAGACTTGAAGAGATTATTAAAATTAAAATTAAAATTTTATCTTACATACGAATGCAACTTCTTTTTCATAACCACGTTCGTGCTACCTTTCAGAATTAGACGCGACCTTCTGGATATTTAATTTTCTTTAACGCCTCCTTTCGGTTGCAGTTATCCGCTATATTTATTTGAAACGCCATTAAAATTTTTTGGAAAATAAACTTTACGTGAAAGCAGAAAGCACTTTTTGGAGTGCTCTTGACCCAGATACTTCTAAACGTATATTCTGTCAAATGCCATTTGTTTGAACTCTGCGTTGAGAATTATTTCGCAATTCTTAAAAAATATCGAAATGCATCTTTCTTTTATTATTAGGAATTTAAATTAATTTTTGCATGTAAAATCTATCATCCTATGAGCGTTCTTTTGCCAAGTGAAAAAAACAGGAAATTTACTTATACGATGTGAGCTTCCTCTTTATGTGTTATCCATCGTCACTTCTATATCTTGAATTCCGAGTTCCCATAAACTAATATTTTTTTATGCATACTTGTCCGAAACTTAAGGATAAGCGATATATTTTCGCGTGAAGGTAAAGTGAGTATGGTTAAAGCAAATATTACAAGATATTTGTATCCCCAATGCTGACACAAAATGCTAACTGACAAATTTGCAGCAAATTGATGTAAACGTTGCATAAAGGAGATGGAATTATGTGGAAAAACTTCATCCTTGGAAAGACTTCTTATCAGGGAATCCGTCCACTCCACTCCAGTCTGAGCTCCAGTGCAACAAACACAATGCTGTGGCCCCCTCTTTGTCAAGAAAAGTGTAAGGCGTGAAATTAAGTACACATTGGATATTTTATGTGCTATCTGCGGTACAGATGTAGAAGTTTATTAAATGTTTTCAATACGTTTATAAACTTTGAAAGTTTATGCATTGGAGACTGAATGCATGTTTTGCTATCTATGCACAGTTATGAGTTATCATGTTATCATGTGAACACTTTGTAGTTTTTATTATTATTCACAGATGAACAATAGAGCAGTTAAACATATCCAATTAATAATAAAAATAATAATCAATAAAGCCATCGAATAATATTATCGGTGCGATATTTTCTTTCACTTAGTTTCTTCAAGTCGATCTCAATACTTAAAGCTCATCGTAATTGATGTTGCAGGTTTTCGTCAGTTAACTATCCCGCGATTTCATTTTCGAGGGAAAAAATTGGTCTAAAAGCACTCACAACATTTTGTGCCAGATTTCCCAAATTATTTTTTTCCTCTGTTATATAAGTGCTTTAAAAATCAATCTTTGATTCTGATGTTTGAAAAATTCGTAGTGCACTGTAAATCATTTGGTTCCATTAGTTCCAGCAAACTAAAACTTCATATTCTGACAGGAAATATGCTCTATCCAAAATATGTCACCAGGAGAGGACTACCCCATTTGCCTTCTTCTAGCTATGCCACTGCCACACAGTGTCCTCTAATTCAAATGTGGAGCCTCAGTCGGACATGATAACGTTGTATGACAGAAGCAGCATGCCGTGCAGGGCGTTTGTTTTTGCTAAATATCAATTTTCTTCTGAAACATATTCCAATCGTTTGAAAAGCTGCTCAAAGCCTAAAAGCAACGCTTTGCATTATTCCAAACTTCGTTGCAACTTTGATGATTGTAAGGCCTTGTTCCAGCTTTTTTCTAGTGCTTTCTTCGTGCAAAATCACTGAGATTATGTGTTTGAAGTATGACAAAAATTGCCCGTTTGTAGACTATTCCTTCATGCTCAGAATTTCTGTCAAACGGAGTTCGTCGGTAGAGTTAATTTTCTTTTAACTTTAAACAAAATTAGACCGGCAATTCGTTTCAAATAAGAACAAAAAAGTTCTTATCTAGTTCCCGTTCTTCTAATCTTCTATAATCAAGTGTAGACATTTTAGATATTAATCCTTTATTTACATGGTTACGATGGAGTCCACGAGCGGTCGAGCGACAAAATTGCTAAGCAGTGGTAATTCGGTCCGAGGCTCGAATCTCGGTGAAGGGCCTGACTGCATGGTTTTTTTTTTTTTTTCTATATGTGTAACGGGGATCCGGGGCAGTTTTTTCCTTTGATGGTCCTCAACGACAGCATCCCCCCTTAGGCAGATAGCCTTCGAGTTCTTTGCTATAATTTACGTAAACCAAAATCATGAATACGATGGTACACTTTGATGATACACATCTCACTTCTTTAACATGAAAATACTCGCTGAGAGCGAGAAGAGCTCTGTTATGTTTCGGCGCCATTTAGAGTTCCAGATATCGCAGCATCCCCCAGGAAGGAATGTTCGTCTGTTTCCTTTGATGCAAAAAAAAAAAAAAAAAAAAAAAAAAAAAGTGCTGGGGTCATGTAAATTCATTCATGTATTGCAGTTCTTCAAACCAATCTGATATGATTTAGCCAATTTCGATGGCAAGGGCTCATCCTAGTTCAGTCTTCTTTCCCAGATTTCTTGAAGTCTCACTTTGCTCTAATTCTGAACGGAGAATAAGTCCACTTATTAGCTCAAATATCATTCCAAAACGTTTCTATCATACCTCTGATCGAAGATTTAAATTCTTAGTAGTAGTCTAAGTAGTCTTTGTATACATCAATTTCTCATTATCCATGCTTATGCAATCTTTTTTGAAATTCAGTAATAGCCAGCAACCTTATATGGAGAACTATCAGAAATAGTTTGTGTGCGTTACCATCAGATGTAAAGATCACTTACCTCTGAATTAATATTTCGAACCGAAACGAAACAGTATCATAGTTACAACAGATGTTCGACTATCCCTAATTTAGTAAATACGACTGCTGAATTATGTAAGATTTTGTTTCCGAAGATCATATTGTAATAAGTGCTTGAATGTTACTGAAAAAGTTAAATACGTAGTCTTTTTAGGACTGCAATTAGCATTTTTTAGCAAGAATTCATCAACCCGTTTCAATGGGTTTCAGAAATATAACCCATATAATGAATAATTAAAACAATTTGTTTGTATGTCATCGACCCAAGGCCGTTTCTGGTGAGTTTGCAGCGAATGCTCCATATGCAGGCCATAAAATTTAGAGGCTCCTAATTTGGTCGGTGCCCTATGAAGTGGAAGTTACCTGTGCAAGAGCAAATATATTATCCATTGATTTTTTGTCCAAAAGGCGATAAAAAAGTCTTTTTGTCTAAAGGCAAAGATAAATTATATAGGGACGCACAAGAAAACCTGCACGCAGGCGCTCTATCCCCGGCCCAGGAACTGTCTTAGAAACTGTACTGGATATACGAGTTGCTATGCAATGGGGTAGCTAAAATGGGGTAAGTTATTCGGATGACCAGTTTTTCTTGTAAAACATAGTAATGCAGCAATTAGTCACATCGATCATGGAGCAAATAAACAAACAAACAAAAGACTGGAATTTTTTGCGATATGGCAGTGCTTATTACGGTTATCTTAGGGGAGGTATGTCTTCATGGAAGACTAAAGTTCTCCACTAAGGGCTTTGAAACTAAAAACTCGCTCGCATTCACGTTATGAAAATTCTATAGGTTAAGTCATGTAAATGAGTCCGTTCTTTCAGGTTTAATGCGAAATCGAATTACCAATAAATACAATTCACCATTCATACACTTATACACTGCTGAGATAAGAATGACGAGATGCTGAATAGCGACACTTTTTTGCACAGTGAGAGAATTCAAAGAAATCGCAGCGAGATTTCAACAACTTCATGCTCGTGCTAAGCTTTCCTTAATCTATTAAAACTTTTGTATAAAAGATACGAATGCCAGCTAAATTACGACACTAACACGAAAGGATTCCTCATTAAGAGAGAAATACTTGAAGTATTTCGGTTACTGATCGGAAAAAGAAAGAGAGACAAGAAATTATTATCCTTTGAGCTGTAACAGTTTATTATAAAATGAAAGCCGAATGTTGCAGTACACTACTATGGATTTTCCTCATAATTGCTCCTAATTAGCTCAAATATTATTTGTGATGAGAGGAATGTTTCTAAATATAAAACGATTAAAAACTTCTCAGACCTAAAAACGAGTGAGTATCTTGTGTTTAAGAAATCTTGCCGTACTATCTGATGAACAAAAACTAGAATAACTTCAAGTAACTGCAGTAACTTCAAGAATAGTCATGAGCGGGTTTTCTAACAGAAAAAACAAAGGAGAGAGCATCTTAGAATGTTGGAATTAAGGCTTTACTTTAAAAATAATGACAGAACTTATTTTCCTTTATGTCATTTTGACATTTTAAGGGTATTTAGATATGTACTGAGAGGGGGAAGAAATGTATCGCTCCTGGAAGCAAAAACTCTGGCTGCGCTAACAACGCTATGTCGAGTTGTGCTCGCTACATGCGTGGAAAGGGTTCAGTTTGCGTACTTTGACCTTCGAGAAGAGTATTTTTTCAATCCTACTCCAACTGTTAACTTTCAGTCTGATTTGCGCTGTATGGATCTAACTTTGAAGAAACTGTTGAGTGAAGAACAATACTCGCCACACGTTTTCATGTTCTAATGGGGCGCTTCTTACCACTCCATAAGTTCAGGGAAATATTTTCAACTATAAATGCTGAATTAATATGCGAATGTTCGTTTCCGTCAGTATCACTGAGCCATCCACAATCCATCTGGGTAAACTGGAAATTTTGCTTGATGAAGAAAATGGAAACTACACGAACAGTTCTAGTGTCAGATTTTAAATAATGTTTCAGCTATTCTGTTTGCACAGTGGCAGGGAAGCCGGCTGGGTTACAGCCGAAAACATCGCGGACGAAAACGTCGCGGAGAAAACAACGCAAGGCAAAAACGTCGTGCTACAAAACATCGTGGGAGAAAACATCGCAGTTCTAAAACATCGTGGTACAAAACATCGTCGTCGAAAATAAAGCGGTTCAAAAACTTCGCAGTTTAAAAACATCGTCGTCGAAAATATCGTGGTAAAAAATAAAGTATCTACAAATCATCGCATGACGATAACATCGCAGACATGCTTCTTTCAGGCTTTAATAACTGTAAATGGATATTCCCATATTGATTTGTGATCGCAAGATGGAAAGAAGGATAATTTTTACTTTCATACTTTTATTAACTAATAAATTTTTGCTGAGAAAATAAGAATGAAACTTAAGCATAGAAAATTAATGCAACTTATAGCACTTAATAGAATTTTAAAACCGACATAGTTAACTAACAAAGGCCATTATTAAATCATTTTTATAAAGTTTTTACTGGTAATTTTTCATGAAAAGTATAATCTATAATTTGCATTTAATTTTTTATGCTTAAGTTTCCTTCTTACTTTTTCAGCAAACAATTATTAGTTAATAAAATATGTGAAAATAAAATTATCCTTCTTTACATACTGCGCTCACAAATCATTATGGGAATATCCATTTACAATAATTAAAACCTGAAAAAAGCATGTCTGCGAAGTTATCGTCATGCGATGATTTGTAGATACTTTATTTTTTACCACGATATTTTCGATGACGATGTTTTTAAACTGCGAAGTTTTTGAACCGCTTTATTTTCGACGACGATGTTTTGTAGCACGATGTTTTCTCTTTGCGATGTTTTCTCCCACGATGTTTTGTAGCACGACGTTTTCGCCTTGCGTTGTTTTCTCCGCGACGTTTTCGTTCGCGATGTTTTTACCGCGATGTTATCGGCGGACACCAGCCGGCTGCCATAGCTATGGGCCCGTGTTCAAATCTCCAGAAGTAGGCATGGATATTTGCAAACGTATGTGTCTTTGCCGTATGAGAGCATTTAAATACACTGTAAAGACGAAAATTCTCTTGAAAGTTTGGTGAACGGGAAGAAGGGTGGTTGGTTTGGTTTACTTGATTATGGTAAAGCACTCGAGGATTATCTGCTTAAGGGAAGGGATGCCTTTGTGGAAGACTTTATAAGGGTAACTGGCTCATATACACGTTACACATGGAGAAAACCATGTGTAACATGTATCTAAGCCAACAAAGGGCGTAATCCTTGCCGCCACGGTAAAATTCGCGGACTTGATCTGAGGCTACTGTCAGATAAGTGAGGTAAATCCAAAAATATAGTGTTTTATTGCTGTATATTATCATCATAGACTACCTGTATGTAAAAGCTCATTTTCGGACACTTTAACATCTACATCTAATGGTGAATTTGATGGTTGTATATATGAGCCATTATAAAAAAGGTGAAATAAAAAGAAAGTACTTTTAAATATTTATTTCCATTAAAACGCTGAATACTAAAATTTTCTTAATCTCTGACGCAAAAATTATTTAATTCGAATTCATGTAATAAAAAATCATCGCTTTCCATATGAATCAATATTTAATTATTTTATTGCAGATGATAGCTGTAGTAAAACAATTTATCGCAATTGTCAGCAGCAATAAAAGGATGCAATAAAGAATACCATTTGCGCCAAATTATTTCACGCTTTAGAAACAGTGTTTCAACTTATCTGCTCTAATGATATCTTAAAGCTAGCTTTATGTTCAGAATATCATTATAGTGTCATAGGAATTAAAAATACTGTAAGTCAACTGGTCAAAATGAGATGAAATGTACCCGTCAAACAAGTATTTCGCTATTTTGCTAAATAGCAAAAATAAAAAATGCAGTAAGAAACATGTTTGAACCCATGATTTTTGATGATATGCCTCGGAATTATTAGTGTACCGCGAAACTGTATACCTGTACTGTGAGAGAAACGAAACTTTAGCTTGGTTTACTAAATCTTGGTACAGCACTCGAGGACTATCTGATTAAGGAGAGCGATGCCTCACTGGAGGACTTTCTATAGGAAACTAGCTCTTATCAAAGGTACACATGGAAAAACCCGGAAACCAACATCCCAGCCAGACGTTTCTCAGGGATTTGAACCAGGCCGAACTACCAGTGCTCAGCGTCTTCATTGTTCGGCAAAGAAAACGAAATTTTAAAGGGAAAATAAGAGAAAGTATAAACAAGTGTATTGCAAATAAAATGTGTTACGAATGTAATGTGTAGCTGTAATTTGATTTTAACTGAAACAAGACATAAGTTAGCCTTTCTTAAAAACTATACCGAATAATTTATTTAGTCAGATAAACACCAAATTAATACATAAATTTTATAAATACTGCTTTTCTTACCTTCTTCTCCAGAATAACTGATTTCTGTTGCATATGATGCTTTTGGGAGCGCTGCGTTTATGTTACCATAGCACAATTCTTCTGCTTCGACTCTTGATGCACCTTGGGCTATTATCATGTCATGAAATTTTCTAAGCGCCTTTCCGTCGTTCAGTGCAGAGGATATTAATTCTTCTGCTTCATTTTTCTTCGTTCCATTTACTAAAAGGAGGACTTCACTGCCTAAAATCAAATTAAAATTTTATGCCAGAAATATAAATAAAAAATTTGCGTTAGTAAATAAAAAAAATTATTAATTTCACGCAATTTCTGTAGTTATCCTTGGGAAAAACATTATCATTTCCTCATTCTCACTATTAAGAACACTGAATATTTAGGCGTTAAGTTAAATTCCTTGCCTGCATAAAACATCATATGACGAAAGTTATAATAACATCGTATGCTGCTTATGACTATCTTCGTGTTCTACTCGAGGATCCTTTGTAGTGGACTTGATCAGAACGAGTTAGATATAATTTCCTGTCATTTGACAAACTTTTCTCATGCCTTCCTTGGTTGAAATTCCACTAATAGACAGTGACATTAAGAAAGCGTAGATTCAGCAGAGGAAAACTCTCATGACTATAACCAGGACCCCCGTAGTGCATTCGGAAACAAACGTTTGCGCAGAGCTTATGTATCGAATATATGAAGGATTAACTACGAGACTAATTGTAGATTTTTTTACAGTACTTGCTTAGTTAACCATTCAAAGCAGTTTTAAAAATCAGATTCTCGAATACGATTATGTACTTCAACTTTGCGTTGCCCACCTCTTCAGGGATAACCTACCTGATTTTTAGCAACTTTACACGGTCATTTAGCATATTTTTACTCTGCTCTCGTCTAATTCATCTCGTTTCTCCGTAATGGATGCATAGGTACTAATCATTCTTTCACCGGAATTATTTCATAAGACAAAGTTGTCTTTACTTTCTTTCTTACCCCTGCTAAAAATGCCCCGTAGAAACCCATAAAAATATTTTACGGGACCCGTAGTCCAATTCCAGTAAAAAAATCCCAGTAAAAACCCGTATAGCTGTACGGGTACCTGTAGGCCAAATCCCCGTAAAAACCCATACAGCTGTACGGGTACCTGTAAGCCAAATCCCCGTAAAAACCTACATAAAGAAACGCATACAGCTGTACGGGTGCATGCAGCTCAAATCACCCTAAAAACCCATAGCCATAAACGGGTACCAGTAAAAAGTTTTACGGGTTTTTACGGAGCATTTTTAGCAGGGACAACTGCCCGATACTTCTAATATCGGATGTTTATATATAAACATTATCGATTATAATAGATGTTTATCTATCTATATATATATATAATTACTTTATAATGGACCTAATCCGAGTCTTAAGCAAGTATAGGCAGCCGCATAGGGCGCCAGTTTTCGGAGGGGGCTAGCTAAGCTGTTCGCATGAGCGAAAAATTACTTAAGGTATATTTTGCTATGAATTGTTAATATGTTGTAAGGTTTATCAGAAGTTTTTAACAGTTATTAAGTTAAAGCTCCTTTACTACCTATCCTAATTTCAGCTTACTATTTCCTACCAGAATGTGTTTTTAGAATCGCGTTTGATTCAAATGAGTAGGAATAGTATTTAAGCCGAAGTTCCACTGACTTCGGGAGAGAGAATCAGAGTTATTGACTAGCGCGTGTTTGCTTTTTGGCCACATCTCTCTAAGCTATTACTACGCTCGGCCGTATTACTGGCTCTTGATAGCTTCGCTAGCTAATTCGATATTTAGGGGCTAACTAGCTAGATTTGTGTTAGCTTCGGTTATATCTCTTTAGTTGAGCATTAGTTACGTTTTTATTTCTTTCACTTTTGAGTGTAAACCCAAGTGGAGGCTTTGCTGTACGCCTGAGACAGATAGTCCTGAGACAGTTTGTCTGAGACAGTCCTGAGTGACTTGAAATCTTTCTCATTTTTACACAAACTCCCCAAAATTTTAAATAAACAATGCCATAGCAAATCATGTATAGAATCATATCACTATAAATCATGTAGTAAAATTGAACGTGCTTGGTAAATAAAAATTTCAATGGGGCAAATAGTTAAAAATATAGTGTTGTGAGGAAAATCAGAAGTCTTAACGAATGTGAAAGTTTTATATTAATAATACGGATTATTTTATCGTCGAAATCAATCAGATTTTATGTTTGCTTTAAGGAAATTGTTAATGTAACTGCTAGAAGTGACGTTTTTCATTAAACTATGAATGCATTTTGACAAATTACTATTCCTTTCGTTGATCCTGAAATCAGCTTTATCAATCCAATTTAATGTTTTCTGGAGATCTCTTATTCCAACGTTTTAAAATCTGTTTGTTACTATTGGATCATTTATATGTATTTTATAAATAAGAATATGAATAAATTTTCGATCCTCTTTATGCTCAGGTACTGTATGAAAGACGAATCATCGGAATCTTAACAACTATGTAAAATCGGCAGCTGACATTCGCAGTTCAGTGCGCAAACTCATCCATCTTGTGACATCTAGCTCAAGTCATCTGAATTTCAGCTTTAGATATAAATTATCCTAAATCACCTGCAGGACTCGATAGCCCAATGGGTATAATCAGCTTGGCCATATGAAATAAACGACCTTGGATTGAAGTTCTAAGACTTCGTTATTATATTTGCTTGGGATCTAAGAGCCTCTTGTTCTGCGATTCTTGAACATTTTCTTTTTCAATGTGCACGTTTCCTTTAAGTTACGAAACTTAATTACTATTTCTCCGTCTTTCCTAATTTAGGCAATACTTACGTCAAACAATGCAAGAGAGATTAGTCAAATTGTCATAACTTTTTTTAATTACTTTCTTTCAAACTCTAAAACACTAGAATTTCTCCTTTGTAATAATACTCTCATTAAAAAAAAAATGATTTGTTTACTAAAATATATAGGTTTGCGATTTAAGAATTTCTAAATTTAAAAAAAAAGAAAAAAAAAAAAAAACCACTTTTTGCGTATATTTCTAAAATAGCTCCTTATTATACTTCGAGAATTTATTCCCTTGAATACCGAAGCTGGTTATTTAATATCCTTTATATGCGATGCTTTCTCTAAAGGAGATACAAGTAAGATACAGGTTTCTAAGGTAGATACAATCAAACTCTGTTATAGTGAACTCGATTCGTAATCCGGCGTAGGCTATTAGGCACGTACTGTAGTAGAATAGCAAGCTTAAACTAATAGCAACAACATGGTCCAAAGGGCAGAATACGCTCTTCTACTCAAGTAACTCAGATATCAGCTTAAATATTCCTTTCTATCTTATTTGCGTAAATTGTCCTCTCCGTGGAGAGAGGATGCTGAACAACTGCGTTGTGCACCGCCACACTGGTCCTGCACCCGGTATTATGGTATGGGGCGGTATTGGATATCCCTCTCGCACTCCTCTAATACGCATTGCCGGTACTTTAAACAGCCAGCGCTACATCTCCGAGATGTTGGAGCCAGTTGTCCTTCCTCACCTTCAGGGCTTGCCCACAGCCATATTTCAACAGGATAAGGCGTGACCACACGTGGCACGCATTGTCCAAGGGTCTTCGTCAATCGCCAGATTGAACTGCTTCCCTGGCCGGCTCGCTCTCCGGATCTTTCGCCGATAGAAAACATGTGGTCCATGGATGCGAATTGTCTGAACGATTGACCCAAATTACATCCCAAGCACTAGCGTCTACATCTCAAAACGGCAGCCTATGAGAGAGGCGATTCTATTATTTTCATCGGGGAGTAGGGAAGTTAGAATGGTTTTCTGAGGAACGCCAACGGCAGTGCACGATGTTTGCTTACATTAGGAAGTTCAGAAAATTGCAAAGGTGGATTGCCTTAGTTTCTGCGGTTACTTTCAGGGAAATATTAGGCAGTTTTTTTGGTTTGCTGATAGAGGGCAAATAGATAATTTACCTTTATAAATCCGCGTTTATCTATTTAAACTTCAGAAGATTTAAGATGAAGTGAATATATTTAACACAACAGAACGCAAGCTTAAGACTTGTAAATCTTTTAAAAAACAATACTACATCGATAATTAAAAATATTATTTATAGTTCATTATTAAAAACTTTTTATAAATACATAGTTATCATATAATTAATAATTCAACCATGCATTATCTCATTATTTATTACAATTAGAAGAGAAGATATTTTTTACAGTAATGTTTAAAAAATTTGCTGTTGTCTTTTAAAAGATTTACAAGTCTTAAGATTGTGTTCTATTGTGTTAAATATATTCGCTTCATCTTAAATCTTCTGAAGTTTAAATAGATAAACGCGGATTATAAAGGTAAATTGTCTATTTGCCCTCTATCAGCAAACCGAAAAAACTGCCTAATATTTCCCTGTAAGTAAACCGTAGAAACTAAGGCAATCCACCTTAGCAAGCAAACATATAGTCCACTGCCGTTGCATTCCTCAGAAAACCATTCTAACTCCCCTACTCCCCGATGAAAATAATAGAATCGCCTCTCTCATAGGCTGCCGTTTTGGGATGTAGACGCTAGTCATTCCAAGCTGCCACACCAGATCAACTTTGGCAACGTGTGGAAGCTGCTTGGTCTGCTGTACCCCAAGAACACCTGTTTGAATCAATGCCGAGGCGTGTGGCAGCGGTGGTCTCCAACAATGGCGGCTACTCTGGCTACTGGTTCTGGAAGGAATCACACTTCACAGAAGTCTATAAATTTAATCATTTGATACTTGGTCAGCATGTTATCTACTAAATAAATTTTGTTGTGCTATCTTTTGTCTTTCTTGGTGTTGTAATTTGGGTGGCCAGCAGTGTACTAAAAACTTTTCAATGGTCAGTTGCACTTTACATCAGTAGTACATAGTTGCTTTGCATTGTTTACAAAAATTTTTCAACAATTCTATTTTTAATTATTACTAATTTGGGTCTTCTCGACTAAAATCATGAATACATTAAATTAAGGCGAACTTGCGAAACAACTTCAAACTTCTCCCTTTTAATAACTTAACAAAAATAGCTTCGCTTGAGGTAAAAATTAAAATTTACCTAGCAACTTTGCGCAATGACATAAACTGAATTTTCAGCTAAGAAGGAGAAAAAAATTCCCTTATCTATTTGCTTTTTGAAGTTCGCCATTCTTTTCTTGACGAATTCCTGCCAAGTAGGGAAACAGTTCAGACTTTGGACTCTGA